CATTTCGCAAATACTTTTTCATAGTTTAGAACATCATCTAATACTTGGTCTATGTTGGGTGTTAAAATGCTCTTCAAATATGATTGTTAGTTGACTAAATACCAAATTAACTCTAAACTCGGTTTCATTTAATCGTTGCAGACATTTCTTGGTGCAAAAATAGGATGAGACCACTATAAATAGCTCAAGAATGTAAAATTATGATGTTTGGCAACAAAGGTGCAAAGACAGGAAGCGTTGTAGTCTTTTGAGGATCATGTTGCTGTTTCTGGAGATGTAAAATCTGAAACGGGACATAAAATCTCGACCCAGGAGAAAAAGCTGCTGGAAGGCTGTAATAGTTCCTACTTAATTGTGTAATTTGGAGGCGATTTTCATAGGTTAGATATGGAATACTATGTCAACCAAAGATTTTGTGACATTACTTATTGAACTGGGAAAATCAAAAGGACTGCAGGACCTTGCGGCATATTCATGGTGTAGGGGGATGGAGTGTAAAGGTGATGGAGGGTAAAAACGTCTTATGTCTCGTACTGAATTTGTTAGTGCCTGATGCAAAATGCGCATTCGTATTCTGGGTCCTTTTGATTTTGTGTAATTGTTCGGTGGATGTCTTTCTCTTAACAATTTTTCAGGAACCAAAATGAACCCGTCATTCTTAAGCTAATGTTTGGCCGGAGCCGATTTGCTACAAAAACCATTTATAGANAATTTATTTTATTCTGTTTTTTTCTTTTTGAAGTTATTATCGATATCTGGTATTTCATTTACGGTGTTTTGCTTCTCAGATGCCAAATTTTTGGCTATTATACACTCTCATGTTTTTAGCTAGTGCATATCTCGCGCAATGCACGAGTATTAAAGTTAAATGTTGTACTAAACTAAAATATTGAAGTTACTTTTTAAAATTAAACGTTAGACTAAATGATTATATTAAATTATTTTTAAAAATTATATGTTTGACTAAACGAACATATCAAGCAATTGAATAAACCTAATATTGATTTTAAGTTGATTTTTAAGATATACATACAAAATATTGGTATGCATATTTTTTTGAGATCGTATACAAATTTAAAAGTATTCCTAATTTAAATTTCTCATCCATTTATTTATTTATTAATTGCCTCAAATTTTTTAAGATATCGTTTACTCTATCAATTAATCAAATTAATGTAAAAAACATATTAATGAGATTTTATTATTCAATTTTTTTAATCGCCTCTTAAGGGAGAGGAGACACGCAGCTCCTGGTCAACCATAAGAAACAACTCAGACAAGAGCTGTGAAAACAAAATTAATATTAAAGAAGTTATTTATGGATGATTATATTGACAAAAGTTTAAGGTAAAAAAGATACATCTAGGCAGCAATTTTAATCGCATATTAGGCCCGACCTTTTCTGGCCGTGGGTCTTCTGAAGAGGATTAGGACGAGGTCAAGGGACTTTTGGGTAAATGTCGCTTAGGAGTTATTCGGGATCGACCAATAGAAAAGATTGAATGGGAAATACATTCCAAGACTGGATCATCTGGTCGAATATTGGATTATATGGCGGAAGTTCGAGTCTAGTTGGCATCGGTTAACCATTGAGAGGGAAGACAAAGAGGAGTGTCAGGTCGAACGTGAAAAAATCTGGTTTTTCAAGCGGAAATGTTTGATGGGAGGTCCTTTATGAAGTTAGCACCATTTTGAGTTGTTATATACATAGTGCCTTTTATATGCTTAGCCACGACACACTATCTACAATTTTTGGTTTAAATAACCTAGTCTACAATAAGCAAGTACAATAAAACAGGATTTGTCTACAATCCCGTCACGAAATGATTCCGTGAAAGATTTTAGCCATCAGATATATAATTATTGTCTATAGTTATTTTATCTGATGGTTAAAATTCCTCATGGAATCATTTTGTGACGGGATTGTAGACAAATCCAATAAAACATACTAGAGTTATAATAGAATTAGGAGATGATTGATTAATCGGGAGTTCGTAAATATTGCACAAATTCGACAGTTCCATGCGAATGGGAAACCTAAGAATGGCCTCGATATGGTCGTGGAAGAAAGTATAACAACCTACAGGTGGATGGTCGTAGGTATCTAGAGGTCGAAGAAGGATGAAACGCCAGTTGGTTGGTAATTCAATAAAAATTTGAAAGTGTTCTAGCCAGTCTTCACCGACTTGAACGAAAGTACTAGGATTGCGGGCCACTGAAACTATAAGTGGAGCGGTACTAGGAGAAACATCGGGAAGATGATATGGGATATCATACCACCCGTTCGGTCGTATAAGACCTAAAACAACTTCAACAGTTCAAGTGGACCAGTAGGTCAACCTATGTCGGACAACAAGAAGATTAGAGGTCATTAGAGCAACAAGTCGATGATGACCTTAGAGGTAGAGCAATTCAGCAACAGATCGAGTTAGGGCTCTCGGCTAGCTCGACAGAAACTCTACCTGGAAGTGAAGAGGTTTATGTAGGACATAAAAAGCAGACTTATTGAAGACCAGAATGACCCTGTTCAAAGGGAATCGAGCTAATAACACCACTATTCTTAAAGTAGTTACTTAAGAAGGTAAGCTAATGTGAAGACACCAGATAAAGAATAAGCACAAATATAATTAGGATAAAAAGGGAAAGTGGATAGGACCACGTGGATAACATAATTGGGTAGTTCGTGGCAATGCGATCGAGTAGGTTGGACAGAGTTTGAGCAACAAGGTAACATCCCTATATAAAGGGATGAGGTATAAACATTGTAACTCTACACTCTTAGCATTGTATACATACATACTCCCTCCATTTTGAAATATAAGGTGTATAAAGATTTCTCAATTTTTTTGAAATATAAGGCGCGCTAAAAAATCAAGACAAATTTTTGCATTTTTTTCTAAATCTACCCTCATTGTGTTGAAATTAAGAAAGTGTGGAGTAGTTGTGATTAGAGTAAATAAGATTAATTTAGTCAATTTATTCATTAATTAATGTCTCCTTAATATTTGTGCAATAACCTTAAATGCCTTATATTTCAAAATGGAGGGAGTACATTGTATACATCTTCTTCTTCATTAAAACACTAACTTGAGTGTAGAGTTAATAAATACACTACGTCTTTTCATATTCTCTTCATTTTTTTTTTCAAAAACATCTATCTCTATCTTCATTAATGAGAGTTATTATTGACAAAAAAAATTATTTTTAATTAATGTGCAACTTTCTAAAACGACACTTATTATGAATAGAAGGGAGTACTATTAATTACGTACTAGTTTCTTTGACGGTGGGATTTTGGGCCTTTCAAGGATCACCAAAAGTGAGTGGGCTGTCATTTCAGACCAAACCAACTGAACAAACATCAGACAGGCAAAAAAGCATCAAAATATAAAATCAGATTTGCGAAAGAAAATTATTTATCTCTTTGAATAATTATAATACACGAAAAATTGTTCTCTCTTTCTCCATCTGCTTTTTGCTTCGTCTATCCTCGGTACTCTTTTCTTTCTCTTCCCAATACCGCGGTGTTGAACCGGTTTGCGATGTCTTTCCGTTGCGGAGGGGTTAGCTTCTTCTTCATTTTTTTGAACTTTTCTTCGGAGTAATTTAGATCTATAACTCATTTTCTGTTTTCCCGATAAGTTGTTTATTGGTGTTAGATATTTTTCTATCAACCATTGCTTTACTTTGCAGATGATTTTTTGTTTGATCCAGTCATTACTTTTTGTAGAATTTTGTATTACATTATTCAATGGATCATGGGTCTGTATGGTTGATAAGAAAATTGTGAATACTTTAAGGAGTTCAGAGTTCTGATGCTGTGTTATGTGGTTGTGTGGTGTTGTTACAATGGGTCTGAGTATTTTAAGGACAGTAATTGATACCAGTTGGTGATGTTAATGAAACTTCTGATACGAGGAAATTGTGGGTATGATTATATAGTGGACCATTGACCACCTTGCAACATGGACCATGACACCAAAACTACATTTTTTTCTACTCTTATTTTAAATTGTAGAGCAGTGGGTATACAAAAACCGTCATAAAGTTCACAAGCACTGTGGATTATTGATGAATTGGTGCTCTTGGAATTATTGGGCATCTGATTTGACACGTAAATTCATCCTTAAGTGGTATATATAATATTATTCAAGCGACATGTATACCTTCTTCTCTGTATGAGGAGTAATTTATTGATTGGTTTATGATCTGGCGGTCTGGCCTCTTGCATCTTACTCTGTTTAGTCGATGGCCCCTGTTAAAATGTTGGTAACATAGTGGCTTTAGCTATGTCGTAAAATGTCACGTGCGAAGGTAATGGGAGAATCTTCTGTTTTAGATGGTTGGTCCTGGTGTGCGTCATTAGTATACAGAAAAAAAAAATGTTTTCTTTATTGCTTTTTTTTTTAGTTGAAGTTATGATCTTTTATCTTTTATGNTTGGTTTAGCATCACCATGACTGTATTGTTGGCCTAAAATGAGTGGTTCTTCCTGTGAGCTCTTAGTTTTGTTATAAATTTGTGTTTTCTTTCACATGGTGTTATCTCGAGTCAAGTGATTGACCCTATTTGAATGATTGCAGACAAATGCATCATCAGGCATGGGTGTTGCCGACCACAGCAAGAGCACATACATGGAGTTGCAGCGGAAGAAGGTCCACCGCTATGTGATATTCAAGATTGACGAGAAGAAAAAGGAAGTCGTGGTTGAGAAGACGGGTGGGCCCGCCGAGTGTTACGAGGACTTCATGGCATCCCTTCCTGAGAGTGACTGCCGTTATGCGGTTTACGACTTTGACTATGTGACCTCTGAGAACTGCCAAAAGAGCAAGATTTTCTTCATCGCGTGGTCTCTCTCTCTCTCTCTCTCACACACACACACACACTCACACACTCGCACTCGAGCATATTTTTTTCTTATCCCTATCGTCCAGAATGGTGGCCTTTGGATAGGTATCTGCAGGTAACCATTGTAGCTGGAGATGTTTTTGGGATCCCTTAAAAAGAAGTGTTTGGTTTTAGTGTTTTTAAGTGTCAGCTTATAGTTTTGATTTCGTGCAAATGTAGATAAGAATTTAGAAGTGGGATAGGACTTCTTTATGTTTATGATTTTGTTTCTAGTTTGACATTTATGATTTTGCTTCTAGCTTGACATTTTTGGATCAAGTACTTTTACTATTTCTCCATCCTCTTTTATTTGGAAAAAAAAAAAAAGAAAAAAAATATGTTTTAGCTAATTCAACTATTAGCATTTATTGGCTAAAACTACAACATCTAAATCCCAACCATGTACTGATGTACAGCTTCTTTTATGATAAGGTATCCTTTGAAAACAGATTTTTTTCACAAACACTTACTTGGTTGATCCACATTTATTAATATATAATGTGAAATACTATCACCATGAATTTTCAACTTCCAATATCATTGCATGTATTATGTTGATAGAAAGTAAATTTACATGATTTTTTTTGGTGTGTGCCCTTTTCAGGTCCCCATGCATCTCTCGAATTCGTTCAAAGATGCTTTACGCCACATCCAAGGGAATGTTTAGGCGAGAGCTTGTGGGCATACACTACGAGATCCAAGCAACTGACCCAACTGAGATGGACCTTGATATCATCAGAGAACGTGCTAATTGACAGTCCTGTCATTGCAAAGAGTATACTGCCATCGGTTTTGCTATGGAGCCAACAGTTGGTTCTATAGTGGAACCAACCTTCTATATACAACAAATAAACTTACCATATTAATAAAATTATATTAGTGTTATTTAAGTAATCAGAAAATATAATAGGTTTACTTTTTGTATATAGAAGGTTGGCTTCACTATGGAGCTAACTGTTGGCTTCATAGCAAAACCGATACTGCCATTATCAAGAATTTTATCTTTCT